GGCACGCTGGGATGAAATCGATCACGTAATCGATTTCACCGCGCAGCATGCGGTGTGCTGTCGTCGGTGCTGAACTGTAGTAGCCCGCTCCACGACATCCTCCAGAGGTGCTGAGGTCTCTCTCGATCGATAGAGGTAGACTGCAACAGTTTACGGTGGCAGTGCCCTCAGACTGCCGCTCTCTCCCTTTTGTGTTGACTGGTTAGAGTTGATATTATCAACTTGATAAACGTTTCACCTATGGCTCGTATAATCGACCATGTCGAGAACGGGTATAATTTAGTTTCCACTCGGAAAAAAACCCAATCCACAACTGGCGCTCTAGACTAGCGCCCTCCCTCCCTTTTTCTGTTGGCTGGTTAGAGTTGATAAACGTTTCACCTATGGCTCGTATAGTCTACCATGTCAAACGTGTATAATTTAGTTTCCACTCAAATGAGGAGATAGTTGCTCACGGTGAGCACTCGAGGCTCCTCTTGACATTGAGTGAACCTGTATTGGAATTCTGCTGGAGCCTTCGGAAGGCCGAACATGAGCACGTCGTTTCCTCTCAATCTGACACAATTTACGTCCTGCAGCCACGAGATTCATGACAGCTCCAGAAGTGCTCACGACAACGTAGGTCGTCGTGGGATGCCGTAACCCTCATACTGTAGTAGAGCGAATACTACATACCATACTCTCGCCAATTCCTCTGCGAGTTTCTGCTCATCGATCGGTTAACGTCGTGACTCTTCTGCTACCAAACCGATTGGTGATCAATTTATGTTGCAACAGTTTGGGTATCAAAAATCCTCAAAAGGACACTTCTGCTTCCACGGGTTGGCGAAGTGTAAACTTCATCAGTGTTGTTACTAGTGTTCTTCCCCTCGATAAGTAGTGAAAGCGTCACGTGGCATGCAATTGGAGTAGTGGTCGATTCACAAGAGGATGTGAGAGTAGTGGTAGTGCTAGTCGGAGTCCTCGTAGACTTTTAGGGGACTTAGGATAAGTTCAACAGAGAGGGTGGGAGTAGTCCTCAAGCTGACCTATTTTGTATCTTCTACGCTCAACCTCAAGATACCTCTCAGTTTCTTCGTGTCCTATGTCTTCCCTCCCAGCTCTACCCACAGTGAAGGAATACAACCCGACTTCTGACGACATCGCCGAGGCCGAGCAAGTCATCTCACAAGCCGCTGAAGTTTCCGAATTTTGGGCTGAAAAATATGAAAAAGATGCCGTGAAAAATTGGGATTTATTCTACAAGCGCAATCGTACCAACTTCTTCAAAGATCGCCATTACCTCGTCACTGAATTCGGCGAAGTTGCCAGAAGCGATTCCTTCATCGACGCCAACGAGGCCACTGGGCTCCTGGTGGAGGTCGGCTGTGGTGTCGGTAACGCTGTGATCCCGCTGGCCCAGGCCTGTCCGAAGCTCTCTATTCTTGCTACTGATTGTAGTAGTATAGCGATTGATCTCTTGAATGAGAGGTTGGAAACTGAAGACCCCTCGGTGGCTCGGAGAATTTCCACGAGAGTTTTGGACGCGACTAGCGCTCATTTCCCCCCACAGGACCTGCTGGGCTCAGCAGATTTCGTAC